CAAAGCTTCCATAGCCTCCGACCCACCAGAGGACTAACCACATAACAAGCGATTTTTCTCTCTATTAACCTACCGGAGGACAAAAGAGTTTATGCCAGTGTTTATCGTCCAGGGCTTTTATAAGGAGCAAAGGCTCCCCGAACAAGTGGTGAATAGCTCATTTCCCATTTCACCTTTCTATCCTCGTCTATCCTCGAATTCTCCAATCACATTTCGTGCATCGTTTGTCCTACCTATGCACATCAGGGGCGTGAACCCGACATACATAGGTATAGGAGGCACCGGGAATCACCAACATATCATCATAACTGCATCATGCACCGCATCCGTCGGTTGGACGTTGTGCCTCGCCCTCCGACTCCACCATGGCCCCTTCCTACTCCATCGCCAGGACCATTCTCCCATGTCTTCACCTAATGGCACACCATTGCACCCTTTTGCTCCACAAACCCCATACACCACACTCGTAAATCATCTCGGTAACCCGACAATATCGCCCGGACGACCGTGAAGCCTATCAGTAAACCTTACTAATTAGGCCTCCCAAGCTTCGTTTAGCTCGGTAGACGCGGAGAACAACATGAGCGAGCCTACACCAGCCCTCCGATGAACGGAGCCGCATTACTCGCATCCGTAGGGATCACACCGCAAATGTAGCCTCTCAAAGCTGAAATGGCAAAAAAGAAAAGAAAAATAATGAAATAGAAGGAAATCATTTCCACGCGGCCGCAGGAGACGGAATTATTAGGGTTCTTGCTTTAACTGCACTCCACCTCCCCTTCTATCCCCCTGCCCCCCAAGAATCAATTCTTCCTCCGCTGCCTCACGGAAGCCACCGCTGGCGGAAAAGCTCCCGTCTTTGTCCCCATTGCCCGCCGCGGCCACCCCCTCCCGGCGCCCCCGATGATCCCGCACTCCGTGTGACCCCCGCCTCCTCCTCTGCCAGGTGATTCCGCTCACTCCCCGTGCCCCCCTCCGAGCTGACATCCGGAGGGCTGCTCGTTCGTTCTTCCTCGGTTGCCGCGCGCCGGGAGCGAAATCCGTGGTCCGTCCCCGGCCCCCTCCTTGCAAACTCCGCGGTTTTGCTCGGTGCACGGGAAAGGGGGTGCGCGGCCTGCGATTTTCTTTGCCCGCTCTGAATTTCGAGCTGCCGGAATTTCTTTCCTTGACGGAATGCCACAACTTTTCTAGATCTGACAGGCCGGGTTTCTGCGGAATCGACGGCCGATTCGTGGCATCTCTGTGGGGCTTTCAGCGATTCGTTGCGCGGAGCTTCTGTCTAATTCTGGTGATTTTTGTCTTGCAGATTCGGCGGCTGGAGCCCGTGGCGGGTGATTCTTGGGGCCGAATCATCGAGCGCCGCGTATGAGCAGCTGGAGATTTGTGGAGGGCTCCGACGTCTGGGTGAATTTGGTGGCGGTCCCGGCCAATTTCGCCATCGCCGCGGTGGAATTCGCGCTGTGGAGCTCCGCCTGGTGCTTCCTGGCCATCTTCTCCGTCAACTTCTGAGCCAGAATCTCGCGCTGTTTCTGATTCCCAGCCTTGTGGGGGTAGCCGTCGGAGCAGATTGGATGAGGATTGCTGTAACTGGGTCTGAAATGATTTTTTAGCTGATTTTTAAGAGGGGAGGTCATTTTGACTGGATTGGGTTTGAGGATGGAGGAGAGGCTGTATGATGCCGGCGACGGCTCCGCTGGCAATCCGAGCGCCGAGGACGTCGCCGCCAACTCGAGAGGCGAGGACGTCGCCGCCAACTCGAGAGGCGACGACGACTTCAGGAGCTGCTGTGGGGACGAGGAGGAGTGGGAGGACACGGAGGAGTCCTTCACGGCCGGCGTCTCCGAAGCGGAGCTCGACGAGACTTCAGTGCGGCTCTTCTTCAAGGGCGTGTCGAGCTCAGACACTGATGGGAAGAAGCTGTCCGGGATCGGCGTGGTGATGGAGCGGACACCTGGGGTGCCTCTTCATAGGGTGCAGAAGAAGCTGGATTTCTATGTGGATGAGCTGGTGGCTGAGCACTTGGCGCTCATGGATGGCCTGTTGGTGGCATTGCAGAAGGGCATACGCAAGATCTTCGCCTTCACTAATTCGGAGAAGCTATACTTCCAGGCAAGAGTTTCTGGTTTTTGCAGTAGATGTTCTATACTGGCTCATATCACTGGATACACTAAAGATATTAGTTTCAGTCAGCTCGCTGACTGATGATTTTTCAGTCAGACTTTGTGTTTGCCAAAATAAAAATAAAAAATCAACAGTCTCTTCAGTTTAATCAAATTGAGTGTTGCTGTTGCTTTCTTGAGGTGTATTCACAGGATGGTGCATTTCATCTTGGAAAATTCACAATCTTGACTGCTAAATCTGGATAACCATAAGCTAATTCTGACCTATTGGCCTCATGGCTGATTTATACAAAGCCGTAGTTGTTACAGAAAAATGTTGTTAGAATTAAAATAAGAGGAACAGAATGGTGAAATGTGAATATGCAGTGAGTGTGCATGCAGCGCCCTATTTAAGGTATTCCATGTAGAAGCTATAGAATACTTGCCAGTCTGATGTGCTTTTTTTCTCAATTAATTAACTTTCTTGTGTGAACTTCAGTGCTATAGAATTTTTGGATTAAGTCAACTGAACAAGTCTTTGTTTTCTTTATTTTTCTGTGGCAGATTGCAGAAGCTGAAATTCTTGAAGACCAGCTTTTGGTAGCTTTAGGACACAGGATTCTTGAACTGGTTGAGAAGTTGGAGGACTTTGATCTAATATTGCTTCCTAGCTTTGAACTTGAGAGGCCGTTGAAGTTGGCCAAAGAAGCAATAGGCATCGTGTATGTATCTCCCTATGAGGTTGCCACCTGCCCGCTATGCTGCGAGGAAAGACGAGGTTCTCATATGATCAAGGTGGGCTGTTCCCACAAATTTTGCTACAGTTGCTTGATTGTGTATGTCGAAGACAGGCTGCATGCCTCGAAGCTGCCTATTAGATGCCCACAGTTAAGGTGTAAATATCATATTTCTGCTGGCGAGTGTAAATCATTCCTTCCGGTTGGCAGCTACGAGTCCCTGGAGAGCGCTTTCGCGGTGGCTGGCAGCACCTATGACATGGAGGGGTTCTATTGCCCCTATCCAAACTGTTCGGTTTCGTTAGACCTCAGTCAGCACTTCTCTAGGGCAAGCTCGTCCAGTCAGTCGGATCTCAATTGCATCGAGTGCCCGGAATGCCACGGAGATATCTGTATCAACTGTGGAGTGCCTTGGCACATCATGATGGGGTGTGACGAGTACCAGAGCCTGCCTGTCGAGGAAAGAGGCGCAGGAGACTTATCTTTGCATCGGCTAGCACAAAACAATAGTTGGAGGCGTTGTCAGAGGTGCCGACGGATGATCGAACTCACGCAGGGCTGCTTCCACATGACTTGCTGGTATGCTTTGCATGTCTGTTCCCTGCATTTTCCAGATATTCGTAGCTTGAATTTGTCGTGTAGTAAAGCCTTCTCGTCGTTTCTTGTTAACCCTCAGATTCCCTGAGATGCATGAGATTTTGAGAAAAGCTTAAAAATAGTGAATCTCTAGAACATTATTTAAAAAGGCTAGTAATTGATGGCCTGTGAACAGAATAATATTCCTACTTAGTGCAGACTACTGGGCAGTCTCTCATTTAGTATTGAAGATCCATTCATTCATTCATGTGTGCGTTTTCGTGCGATTCTTGTATCCAGGCTAATGAAGGCCCTTTGCCATTTTCTGCAGGTGTGGCCATGAGTTCTGCTACTCCTGTGGCGCCGAGTACAACAACGGCGTGCAGGCATGTCAATGCGTCTTCTGGGACGAAGACAACGCCGAGCCCTCGGCGGCGCAGTCCTGCCAGGCGTCTGAGATCTGGGCGTGGGACACGTTCGACTGCATGCCCACGGCAGCGGACGGCTACTCGGAGCAGGAGCGGGCGCAGCTGGCGCTCATCCAGCGGTTCCTGGCGGGGGGCTTCAGCCTGAGCGGCGACAACCACCACCTGAGCCAGCAGTCGTCGCCGCCCCGCTGCGCGGCGGACTCGTACATCGTCGACACCATGAAGGACCTCCACCAGCTGCCGTGGCTCGAGCGGTTCGTGTCGGTGATGAGCGACACCTACAACGACGACTACATCCAGTGAATGAAGAGTTTGAAACTTGAATCATAGATATAGCATTAGAAAGAAGATATGAATGGCGCATATACCGATGATCTCCCGTTCGGAATAATGTGTTCCCCTGACAAAAAAATCCACCCTGTCGAAAATTGGTTGACACAGGAAAAACAAAATGATACTTCCACCTTTGTTTGTTTGTTTGTTGTTGTTTGCTTGGCTGTCCCTCCATTATTCATTCTCTTTTGGTATGTTCTGCAACAGCAAAGAAGCTTGGTTACCTACCATTTTCCCTTTTCTGTTGGACAACATCATCAATCAATTATTAAGTGGAAGGTGCGTGGTCGGCCACTGAATTAGAAAAATCTTATCCTAATGCTTATATTTCATAGTTTGATGTGAAAAATAAGGCATAAAAGTAGGCAAAAGCAACCCCAACAAAACTAAAATAGGAACAAAATGTTCTCCTAATAATTATTTGACAATTTGATGTGAAAAATTAGGCATAGAAGTAGACAAAAGCAACCCCCACAAAACTAAAATAGGAACAAACAGGATTACAAGAATCCATCGCAATGCCAAACACAACCGTAAGAGGGAAGAAATAATGCGCACGATCTTCGATAGCCACTCGACGGTAATATCCAGACATGGAAATTCTTGTAGCAAAACATTGGTTGTGCATATATGGAATTTCTTCATATTTTGGCACAACAGCCAGATGGCATCAAGTTTAAGCATCTCACCACACACAATCCTATAAATAATTTTGAGCTTCGCATAGGCATGAATTTTCCAAGACAAGAATATGTAACATAACCAAAGCCAGTTAACTGACTGATGCACTTCTAGTAGCTAGAGACGCCTACTGCTACCAAGACTCATCATGACGATTGCCCTAGCATCCCACTGCTCGTGTCGTAGCCCGCATCATCATCATCTCCGGCGCGGTGCTTTCGAGCAAGCAGGTACTTCTCAAACTCCTTGAGGTAATCCAGGAGCAGCACGATGGTGAAGAGGAGGAACCCGCCAAAGTAGCTGCTGCCGCCGCCACCCCCTCCACCTCCGCCTCCTCCTTTGCCGAACCGGAACGGAGGGAACCCGCCGCTTCCATCATCCAGCTTAGGTCCTTGAACCTTTCCTGAAACCAGAAGCAAAATTAAGCAATCCAAGTCGGGTGATTGTCCGCTCCGATGAGAACCAAGATTTCAATTTCATGCAGTGTGAGAACAGAACAGAACAGAAAAGAAAAAACCACCTTTGGGGTCAGATCGTTTGACAGTCGCGGTTGAAGATTTGCGCTGAACACTTTGGGTTTGAGCACTGCATTTTACACTCTGAAGCAAACAGAGTTGCCACAAGAACAAACAGTCAAATAAAGGATCTGATAGTGAAACAGGCCATGATCAATTTACCAAGCTGGCCCTTTCCCTTCTTCATTTGGACACATTCACAATTGAACGCAAGCATCATCGCGACCAGATATAGTACATTAGTATTTTATTGAGCACTAAAGTTACGAGGTAGAACCGAAGAAGTGTACAAGTTATGAAGCATGTCAAGCTCACGACCTGTTCTGCTCACAACTTCCCATTTTGGACATGAAAATACAATAGATACTCCTAAATTCAATATCAACAATCTAATAAGAAATAATCAAATTTGAATGATAAACTCTCAACGTTGAACACTCAATTTTACATATAGGTTGATAAAAATAGACATGGATCCATTGAATATTTGTGACTTACCCTCAGTGTTGCTTTAGTAGAAACTTCCCGTTCAAATGAGATGCAGTTAACTTGAGTTCTCTGAAATTGTGAACCTACGCAAACCGTAACACTTCCATAAGCATCTTCAGATGACGCACATAGGGATAAGAAGAAATAAATACTACAAACATGCTAGGAAAAGCAGCATTCAGGAACCGTTCTCATGTGATTACGAAATTGTAATTGCTGAGACGGCAAATGGCGTGATGTCAAGATTTCAGTACTGGAATGGTTATACCAAGTTTCCTGAACATCACTAGGCTGTAAAGTTGTGAATGAGGCAATAAGAAGAATGATACACCCTCTGTTCCTAAATGTAAGACGTTTTGGCAGTTCAAAATTGAACTGCCAAAGCGTCTTACATTTAGAAACAGAGGTAGTAGTAAGGTGACACGGTACTGCAGAATAGCAGACCATGAAAAGCTTTCGAAATGTGGTAACCAAAGAATTTTTTCTGACAGAGGAGCGAAATCACCACCAATACAGGACAATGATTAAGGGAGACAGAAACATTGAAATCACTTCATGAAGTAGTGGTTTGAGAGTCATACACTGGTTTCAACTTTCAAAACAGCCTCAATATAATGGTCCCGAAACATCTGTAATTGTTTTCCATACCAGCACTAAAAATTTTGTGCTGCAGTCGAACAACTATTTTGAGTTGTTTTGATGATCACAAAATGTATCTGTGTGCATCATCTAAACAAGAACAAATCAAAAAGGAGTCCGGAGAGTGAACGTAGGAAACATCTATTGACCAAATCAAGTACGAACTCTGTACCGAAATACTTGTAGCTGGGGAGAACTAGTACAAGTTCCCCCAACTACAAGTATTTTGGTACAGAGGGAGTATAAGTGAACTCATTGTCAGCCCCGTACCATTTACAAAAGTAACTCAAGGTCAAGGCAGGCTACATCAAGAACTTTGCAAAGACAAGAAAAGGGTTAGTGTCCAGAAAACATAAACTTCACAGAAATAGTTCAATCCTTGATAGATTCAGGGACTTTTCCATGGTTACAAAAGATTGCAAAATTACCGCCATCATTTATGTTTATGCTTATAAGATTTCACACTGGATGACGATGAGCCAAGTCAAAACTTTTACACTAACAACATAAGCTGAACCCCCCAGAGTATGGAAAGTAACAAATGAGCTAAGCCTTTGTAAGGTGACACAAAGTTCTTCAGTACAGGTCATATTTGTTTTGACCATTCGAACTGTATGGCTGGCATGTACATGTCTCATAAGATTCAGTGGCCATAATAATCGACTTAGAACTGAAAGAAGACGCCAAGCAACTTTCTCAAGATATGAGTATGCAATTGATGCATCACCATAGAGCGCATTAAACAACCTAAATTCTTAAAACAATTCATTACCTTGAATCCTCCTCGTTAGAAGACCATTGGGGACCACAGTTCCCCGCAACGATCCAGCGGCAAGCGTTGACATGGCCACCATGTTTCAAGACCTACAACGCCCAGCACACGAAAACACCGTTAGCCGGGTGTTCAGCGGACGAAGTAAGGCAGAGTTCATGTTCTGGCTCAACAAAACTGTAACCTAAACACAATAGAAACGGAAAATGGAGATCGCATAACAGAGGATTTGGTGGTGTGATGCTTATCAAATTTGTGTGGAGAAAATGATGATTTGCCACTCCAAACTCCGAAAGAATAATGGAGTACTCCCTCCGTCCCAAAATTCTTGTCTTAGATTTGTCTAAATACGGATGTATCAAGTCACATTTTAGTATTAGATACATCGGTGTCTAGAAAAATGTAAGACAAGAATTTTGGGACGGAGGGAGTACTACCAAAGAGGCCACGTTTTAGAACGCCATGGGGCATAAATGTGATGTCTTTTTCAACTCCGTCCGCCATGGTGCTATTTCCTCCGCATCAATCAATTTACGGAACTTATGACGTGTTGTTGAATCAAGAACCAGACCATGGACCAGAACAAGGCGCGCCACAATCACAATCACAATCGGTGCCGGCCAGAACAGAGCCCGGCAAAGAAAGAGTGGATGCCTCAAGGGGACGCCGGAGGGAGATCTGCTGCTGCGTACCTTTGAGAAGGCGGCCGGAGATACGAGGCGTCCGGTGCGGGTCCCCGCGGCTTCCGTGGGCGGCGGCGGCGCGCCGAACCCTGGCGGTGGCCGGAGATCGCTCCCTCGCCGCCGGAGAGGAGGAGGAGGAGGATGGATTGCTTCGCTTACGGTTGCGGACAAGCGACGGATCGGGCGAGAGAGACCCGGCCGCCGTCGTAGGTGGGCCCCACCTCGGCTACTCTTGGGCTTTTCCGGCCACAGCTGAGGCCCAACTACGAGTGGCGAGGTCCGAGAGCCCAGTAGGCTATCTTTTTTAACATGACCATATGCTTAGATTTCTAAGAACCAACCTGTGGTTGGATGGTTAGAGGACTGTGGTATTTCCAGCCCACTAGGGTTCAAGTCCTGGTGCTCGGCGATGCGCATTCAGTGGGAGGAGGTGTTCCCGTCGACGACGAGGTGTCTACGGCGACTTCATAAATTTCAAGATGATATGTCGGCTTAGTCTTTCAGAGATGCTCATAGGGGTAGGGTGTGCGTATGTCTTGCGTCTGTACTATGTTCAAAAAAAATATGCTTAGATTTTTCAAAAAGAGTTGCTCAAAAAAAAGATTTTTCAAAAAAAACATGACTAGCTTAGGTTCTCTTGTTTTTCTTGCCAAAATGATCCAGATCTACGATTGAAGTTTACCGAAAGTACAAAGCATCTCAAATATAATAAAATTACATCGAGATTAATTCCATGACCACCAAACAACCACTGCTGCTGCCAGAACGAGCCGTCGGTGCATCGTTGTCGCCGTTGATCCCCTACCGGAGCCGGCTTGACCTTGTCGATGGCAGCCGGGAAGTCCTCATGCACGCGCCCCTAAGAAAGCAACGCCCTGCAGCCGGAGTCGTCGTCGTTGAACCCTTGCATAGATCTGAAGCACCTGACACAAAATCTCACAACAATAGAAGAAACGCTCACCGGCCCAAGGAGATGGCATGAATCTACACCGGAGCTCGATGGATGAACTCAAGGAGGATCGGAGCCGGAAAACAAACGCGAAGAAGTAGCGTCGCCATACGGCCGAGCTCCGCGCCTGCCAGAGCTAAGAAAACCCTAACTAAACTACTAACCAGAGTGGAGGTACCGCGATTTTCTTCCCCGCCTCCGGTCGCCCAAGCGGCAGGCAGAAGGGAAGCAAATCCACAAGATTGTCAGTGAAGTCTAGAGGGAAGAGTTCGTCCTAGCTTCCTAGGGTTAGCGAATGAAAACGAGGGGCAACTCATGGAAACCTAATCTTGTTGGAGATCACATGTCATCTGTTTAGCACATGCTTAGGTTCCCTAAAAATGCATAAGCACGATTTGGTTCGACACCAAAATGCTTTAGTACAACTTCTCTATGTTGGAAAAGTTTAATTATAGAGAAAAATATTGACATTTACAATATTAAATCGGCATTATTAGATGCGTAGCGTACATACGCTGCGTATAATTTCTTTTTATAGTGATATGTGTCTCATTCATATCATAAAGATTAAAATATAAATCACATAAAGACCGACATGACAAAACTAGGAAGACAACAAACCGTCCCTAAGCTTGATACCAACGTCCATCATAGATCCATTTAACTTAATATTAGTATATCTGAAGTACATGACACCAAATCTCACCCATCATAGATCCATACTTTAGATTTTATTTGTTTAGTGTTACAAATATTAATATATCTTTCTGAATATAAATAAACTTGGTTAATAGGACACATTTAACTTTAAAAAAACTATGCATCTAATATTTTGAAACAGATGGAGTGTTATTTATCAATTGGTTGCCAACCAAATTGTTTTGTTATTCTCTGGTAAAGTATGTTGTCAGTTTTTTTTGTAAGAGTAGCTCTAGAAGAGTCGCTAAAAGCCACATGGACTGCATTCCATGATTTTTTGGAAGTTGTCGGGCTTGTGCATAAACACAGAGTAGCCAAACCGCAGCCTCCATATTTATTTATTTATTTATTTTTGCACTTGTTTGAATGGCTAGCTTCAACTTTAGGCATTCAAAGAGTGGATAAAAAATGTAAATTAAACATAGAAAGTTAATTGAAAATAGCTAGTTCTTATAATAGGAGGCAAAATTCATCATACTTGCATATAATTTGTGACTAAAAATGTTAGAGAAGCGACATTTGCATTGCTAATTTCCATTTTCTAACAATAGCTATAAATAGTATGTTGTTCCCATTAACAAAACATCCTCTTTTTCTTAGCTCTTCGGAACCGGTACAGAAATTGGTGATGTTTCTACTTTGTCTACGTAAATGACTGGGGGGTGGCCCATGTGGGGTACCTTTTTCGAGTGTGGGATGCTCGTTCAATTTATGTGTTAATTTCCTGTTCGGCAACTCCCTGGCTCCAGGAAATTCTCAAATCCAGCTTCTGTTTTTGATCGCCAGCTTCTTCCACGAATCGGGATTGATGGAAAACTGTTCGGCTCGATCACTTCGGCTTCTCGTCACGCTAGCAGGCCAGCCTGCCTAGGCAGGCTGGAGCCCAGTCGGCTCAACAGGTAGGATGGGTGTGAAATAGGAGGAGAGAGGATGGGCTTGGCCCAGATCGGAGGGAAACATAACGAACCGGTACGTGAGGCACTTCGCGGTGGCATTCGATCGTAAATAACGCCAACTCCAGGAATCCAGCTTCTGGGATCGACAAAATTGCAACTCCAAGTTTTTGCACGTCGATGCTGGTTCGATCTGGGAAGCCAGCTTCCTGGAGCTGGGCCGTTCGGGCCAGCTTCGCTTACGGATTCGTGGAAGCTGGGAGCTGGCGACGTACCGAACAGGCCCTTACTATCTAATAAAAGAAATTCATTTAGGCCCCCTCTGAACTTAATACATTTTTTTGTCATTATTTAAATTTTCATACTTAAGTTTGCAAATCGGAACTTAATAAATCATTAGGATATAGTTAAATTTGCATGTCGTGCAGGTCAAGTCGATATTCACCGCCTACACATTCCATGTGAGTACATATTAGCTAAGAAACTAGGTATTTAACGACATAACTAATAATATATAAGATCCTGAAATACAAATAGATGTGTATTCTAAAAGAACGGACACAACATCTTCTCTGCATTTGGCTTTGCCCACATGGCGCAGTAAGGCGTAACAAGTGCAAAGGGTTTGTTGGTCAAGTTTTGGTACCACAACATACTCTAGTTTTGAATTTAGACTATCAGTGGAAACATATGCCCACAATCATGGTTAAAATAAATAAATAAACACTCCCTCCGATCCATATTAATTGTCGCCGATTTAGTATAATTAATATGGATAGGAGGGATTAACACATTCCTTGAGAGAAGAGAGCATTTCTGTTGAATCGCCAAAACACTACAATGACAATGTCCATGTACTGTGATAGAGCAGGAAGGAGTGAATCGCAGCACCCAAAACATTTATTGGGGGGGGGGGGCTGTCAACGCAAATCTGTCGAGATGAACACGGTATAGTTCAGTGTGCGTCAGTGGCGGAGCCAGCCCGTGAATGCAGCCCGGCAAGAGTTAACTATGACAGTGTGAGCTGCCATCTGTCCAAAGAAATTTTGCTTCTAACCATTGATTAACACTAGCACTTAGGAGCAAATTTTTGGAGTAGCCCGGGCAGCTGCCCGGGGTCGCCGGGAGGTGGCTCCGCCACTGGTGTGCGTGGGTGGTTGCTTTCCAAGGTTAACCATGGGATATCTTTCGCAACATTGGGTTTTTGACAGTGCTGAAGATCACTCCGTACAAAAAACTTTCCTTACTTCATCATATTGGAAGTCATACAAAACACAAGAGTCCAGATTTTTGGATCCAAGGAGTCTCATAGCTTTCAAAATTTCCAAAAATAAAGTCACAAGTACGCGTAATAAAACCTATAAGCTCTAGAGACTTAGAGCATTGTGCAACTGTTTGTTCATCTATGCATCAGCAAACAAGTTTTTTTTCTTCTGTTCTTTTTAGTCTTGTATTGCTCACAGTCAAGGAGCTACTCTCATACTCCACCTTTCACCCCCGCCGCAATTTTTTTTCAATATTTGTTCGACAAAGTTTACTCAAAATTGGTAGTTAGTCTCTTCTCTATGGGGCTTTTGACCTTTTAGCTATAATTTTCGTTGAGCAATCGATTTGTTGTACTATTGGAGGTATCTTCTAATTATGGTCACGACTATCGGGTTTTGTTCCATGATTTTTGTAATAACGAATGTGTTTGCTATGTGCATCTTAATGTTGGCACACAGATCAATGGAGTTAACTCTTCCTAAAAAAGTAAGGCCATCAACCATATGGCCCGAAAGCAGTTCAAAGCATTGTTTGAACTGAGTCTACACACGTGATATCTAAATTAAGGTACAAATCCTTAGCAACGAACCAAGTTTTTGGTTTGGCTCCAAGTGAAACACAAAATGAAAAGAAAGGATGACAGATAAAATTTCAACCCCCAAGGTTCATCTTATACTCGACAATCAATAACACTTTTTTAACACACTGGACCACACTCATTCAACTCCATACACATGACTCAAATTGGCATTGAATCCAGAGCGCCACCCTTTTCTCCCCTTCAAAGTTTTGGCAAAAGTTCCATAGCCTCTGGCCTACGAGAGGACAAACCACTTAAGCAAGTGATGCTTTGATATTGACCTACCAGAGTACAAGGCTTCATGTTAGTGCCTACCATCCATGGATTTATATGGAGAAAGGCTCCCCCCAACAAGTGGTGAATAGCTTATTCTCCATTTCATCTTTCTATCTTTGAATAGTCCGTGCATCATTTTGTCATGTTTATGCACATTGTGAATATGGATTCGATAGACATAGGCATAGAAGGCACCGGGAATTACCGAGATATCCCCATAACTACAACATGCACCTGGTTGCATAGCTTGGCATTGCACCTCTCCCTCACGCTCCACCGTCTCGATCATTCTCCAACTGCCCTGGCCCTCGGCGTACCATCGCACGCTTTTGCTCAAGCAGCCCCGTGCGCCACACTCTCTTCTTATCTCCGTGAAGCTACAAGGTTATCAAGATGTCCTTGAAGCCCAACTCTAAACACTAACTGTATGTCCTTATCTCCATCCTTATAAGTGGACGGAGAAAAAAACATCAGTGAGCCTGCTACAAGTTTAATATGAGTTGGAGGCTGGGAGCTTCAATGCTTGGGAGGTGTCATAACTTGTGCTCAATGGCAATCGGCTACAATTAGCAAATGAAGCCAATGCATTGCCATATTATTAATGTCACAAATTGCATCCCGATCACCAAAATTTTATGTGCCATGTCGACCATTGAATATAATTGAGCGCAAAGGTCATTCAGAAATATACTTAAGCACCAAAATGCACTACAACAACATATCTCAACATCTGCAGCAGCAACACTCCACTACTATTCACAGAACCAACATATGACGAAAAACAAGGGCCCACTAGACTGTAGTGTAGCAAGCTTAGACAGCACCGGCCCAGCCGCAGCCTCTTTCCAATCATCAACGGCGCATACATATTTTCTTTAGTGGCTTTTCAAGACCATTGTAGCCATCCCTTAGCAGCAAAGCATTCTATGACGAGCAGCACAACCTGCTGCTCACCATTCTCTCGGCTGGTCTATGTGAGAGCGACATCCCTGTCTACGGGTTCTGCGCCTGCTGCCCAACGAGCAGTCTCTATTTCCTATCAACAGCTATAAACAATTCCTTGTTCCCATTAACAAATCACCCCCCCTTTTCTTCGAACTGGTAGAGAATTTGGTGCCTTTTCTACTTTGTTTATGTTATTGACTGGGTTTCAGTGAAGGCCCTATGTGGGGTACCATTTATGTGTGAGATGCTCATTTAACTTTCGTAGTCATCTTGTTCCTTATTTACCTGGGTGCAGGTCCACTGCTTACTATCTAATAAATGAAATTCATTTAGGCCCCTGCGAACTTTTGTCATTATTTAAATTTGCATACTTAAGTTTGCAAAGTCAAACTTAACAAAATAATCAGGACATAGTAAAATTTGCATGTCATGCAGGTCAAGTCGATATTCACCACCTACACATTCCATGCAGGCCACATCTTACATTATGGGACGGAGGGAGTAGGTATTTAACGACATAACTAACAATATATAAGATCCTGAATTACAAATAGATGTGTATTCTAAAAGAACAGGCACAACATCTTCTCTGCAATTAGCTTTGCCCACATGATGCAGGCAAGGCATAACAAGTGCAAAAGGGTTTGTTGATTAAGTTTTGGTACCATATCGCACTTCAGTTCTGAATTCAAACTACCAGTGGAAAAATATGCGCACAAGCACCGTTAAAATAAATAAATAAATAAATAAATACTCCCACTGATCCATATTAATTGTCATTGATTTAGTACAAAGTTATGGGTCAGAGGGAGTAACACATTCCTTGAGAGAATAAAGCTGTAAGCTCAAGAGAATTAGAGCATTGTGCAACTGTTTGTATCATCTGTTCATCAGCAAAAAAGTTCTTGTTCTGTTCCTTTTGGTCTTGTGTTGCTCATCCTTATAAGTAGCATTGGGAGCTACTCATGCTTGGGAGGTTTCACAACTTGTGCTCAACACAATCAGCTAAAGTAGCAAATGATTAGCCAATGAATTGCCAGATTATTGCGACACATTTGCATTGCAATGACCAATATTTTCCGTATCTTGACCGAAACGTTAGAAATAAAATATATAATTGAAGCACAAAGGTCATCCAGAAATATATTTAAGCACCAGAATGCACTGCAACAACACATCTGAACATCTGCAGCAGCAACACCCCACTACTATTCACATTTACAGAACCAACATATGACAAGAAACAAGGGCTAGACTGTAGTGTAGCAAGCTGGGATGGCAGCAATCGTCCACAGCGCATACATTTTTTTCTTCCTCCTGTGGCTTCCGCGGCCATCCATGGCGGCCGTCTCTCCACGGCCAAGCGTCCTATGATGAGCAGCACGACGTGCTGCTCACCATCCTCTCGGCCGGTCTCTGCGAGAGCACCATCCCCGCCTGCGGGTTCTGCGTCTGCTGCCCCGCGAGCAGTCTCTTGGCTGAAACCGTTGCCAAACAGAGCAGTGCTTAGACATTAATTAGCAGGAAAAGGGAACAGAGAAATTTCTTTTGTAGTATGTAATAACAACCGGCCATCCCACAGTGAAGTGATCTATAGTATCTAGTACTCACCGAGCTCATAGAACACGTCGTTCACATTGATTGCTGTTTTGGCAGACGTTTCAATGAAGAAGAGCCCATTCTCTTGTGCGTAAGTCGTCGCTTCCTGCACCGCCAACAAGAGTTTAGCTTTGGATAAATCATTCAAACAACATAGTAGTAGTACAGGCTGTATCATTGTGCCGTTCTCGATCCGACAGTACCAACATGTTTCTCTCTCACACAGAAAAATGGCATCTCTGTCGTAATAAAACACTACTGGAACCAAACAAGCTGCACATGATGTAACTGGACAAGGTGCAGTATTTGAAATGCAATATGCTTACTATGCTGATTGCGGAAAGTAACTGGGAGGAAATAAAATAAGCATCATCAATCTATGCTGATGACAAATCCCCCAAGCAAAATGCATGTATGTAACGTCAAAAGTGAGATCCAAGAAGCAGAATTACATACTTCCACTGGCACCTGCCTTGCCTCCAACATATCAGCCTTGTTCCCAGCAAGAGCCATTACTGTGTTTGGATTTCCTGCATGGAAAAAGCATCAAGAATTAAAAACTATATCTGCCAGCTTATTTACACAAAATGCTCAAAGACATCCTCTCTAGCAATGCCCACCATTACAACTCACAAGGTCAGTTTTCTTGAACAAATAGCAGCCACATAAATAATTCTATGGCTTCAAATGAAGAAAAAACATCATAAAGGGGTAAAATGGATTACCTTGTGCTTGAAGTTCTTGAACCCATTTCTTTGCACGTGTAAAAGAGGCCTGTGAGGTAGAAACAATAATGTTATAATCACCTGGACTAAATAACTATCCACCTACTTTTACACAACAGTTACATTCTTTAGATAAGTAGCACATGAGAATGGGTTAAAACTTGTTTGTGATACAAATCAGGATTGATTCATATCTGCATGATGCAAAGCAGGACATATTATTTTTTTGCGTGTGTGCAGGTCAAGTCGATATTCACAAGCTATGCATTGCGAGTGAGTGCATATCACCTAATAAACAAGGTATTTTAATGAGATCACTAGCAATATATAAGATCCTGAAATACAAACTAAATGGTTCTTTTGTTATTATCAAGTAACAACCCATGAACACCTAAACAAACAAACAAAAGGAGACACCATATCTACTCTGCATTTGGCTTGCTCACAAGATGCAGGCAAGAAGTAACGAAGTGCAACTGCAAAGAGTATGTTGGTTCAGTTTTGGTACTACATCGTACTTCAGTTCTGAATTCAGGTTACTCATTTAGCAAAGCAACTAGGCAACATATGCAAAAGCAAGGTTAAAATAACACATTCCGTGAGAGAACAGTGTTGAATCGTAAAAGCACTACAATGCATATGTCCATATACAGAAATAAGTTCATACAAATCACTAGAAAAGCCAACTTAGACAAAGAGGTCAGCAGGCAAAGACCACACAGAATGGTGCGTGGACAGTCAGAACTCAAAACCAGTGCAGACTTATTCTTGCAGAACAGTTATAAGCCTGCTCAGCAGAATGCTTAATGTGCTATCGGGTAAAGATGCATGTATGCTCATCAAGACAAACAGGCATGGCTCTGTTGAACAGAGCAGGGTAATGAGTGCAACTGATAATGATTGGATAAAGAAGTTTCAACTACCTAATAAGTTCAGATCCTCTAGGTTTGTACACGAAACTTTGACACAGGGAAAAATAACGCAGAAGTTCTCACTTCACAGGGTTACCGCAATATGGTTTCTAGAGCTCAGAACATTTCGCGCCACCGTTGTTAGTACTATGGAAGAGCAAGATTTTGTTACAGACTTGTACTAGCTGTTTCCGTTTTGTCTCAAAGATGACAGTTGGTGATTTGATTTCGCGGAAGGAGCAAGGGGAAATTCTCATCAAGAGCTACCAACTATTTACAGGTAATTGCTACTTATTAACCATGGCCGTGGTAAAGGATCACTGCCAAATCAAGATACTCAAGCTCCGCTCATACTGACTAACCGCGTTGGTGATGTCGTAGACGATGATGGCAGCCGCGGCGCCGCGGTAGTACATGGGCGCCAGGCTGTGGTACCTCTCCTGGCCGGCCGTGTCCCAGATTTCGAACTTGACCGTCTCGTCGCTGACCGCCAGGGTCTGCGAGAAGAAGGCCGCGCCGATGGTCGATTCCTGCGGCCGGCCAAATGAACCAGTAAAATAAAATTAGCACCACCAACAGCACACACAGACGCAGGTCATCCCCAATTTTGGAGCATGTGGAGAGAAGTTAAGGGAGGTCACCTGGAACTCGACGAACTGGCCCTTGACGAAGCGGAGCACCAGGCTGGACTTGCCGGTGCCGACGTCGCCCAGAAGAACCTGGCGATGGATCCAACACCATATGAGAAAACCTCACACAGCGAAGTGAATAAATCTCCGCAGCACCCACAAAAATGCGTTCGATTTATTATTATTCCTGCTGATCGGATCGCGGGGGCGAGGCGGCAGGAGCACGCAGCGAATCGCAACAGGACTACCACCCAAACGCGTGGACCGAAGATGAAATAAAAAAATAAAAAAATCCAGCCGCCGGAAGGAAGGAACGGGGCCGGGATCGGGCGGGGGCCGTGGGTGCTCACCAGCTTGGCGTTGCGGATCTTGCTGCCGCCGGCGCCGGCGCCGGCGTTGGCCGCCATCGGGTGGGTAGATCGGGCGGGGCTCGGGCCTCCGGCCGGCGGGATCCGATCGGTCGCCGGAGAGAGAAGGAGGGGGCGGCGAATCCCGGGAGAAACTCCTGCGGCGATGAGGAGGAGGAGGGCGGATCGATCAGGGGGAAAAAGTTTGGGACTTTTCTTCTTGGCGACTCGCGTGTGAGGGCTGTGTTTGTGTTCTTGCGTGGCGTGGCCGATGGACAGTCCGCTTGGTTGCCGTGTTCCTTGTTTTACTTCCGGTTTAAGGCTATAAGGTATAAGATGCCTTCTCCCGATCCGGTCCCTCTAGCATGGCCTAATTGCAGTTCGATCCAAACTTTGACGGTCAACGGATCAAGAGCTACCTCCGGCCGGGTTCATTAGGCCCCTCGCATTTTGAGCCAAATTTTGACCACGCATTTATGGAATGCACTAAAACAACACGAGTTATACTACATAGAGAAAAAGGGCTATTTGCAATCATGTCCCTAATTCGAACCGCCTGCTCGGATTTACCCCTAATTTTGAAGCATGCTCAGATTTACCCCTCTGCCGTCACGTGCCATTACAGGAATTCCATTCAATGTCGTTTCCGTCCGGTCAAAGGGCTTTGACCCTTTCTCTGGACGTTTGTCGGACAATTTGCTCCTGAAGCCATGTGACACTTACATGCAGCGCCCGCTCTAAAAAAAATAAAAAGGGAAACTAGGCCAGCTCGGCCCTCTCCCCCCGATGGGACCCACTGTGAGGGTCAACACCCCGGTCCATGCGTTTCGGCCGTGAGCACCTGCACTCGCCGGAGGGGGGATGACCGCGGGAGGAGGGTGCTTCTTGCGCGAGACGCGCCAAGCTCACTGGGAGCGGCAGGGTGTAGATGGGCGCGTGCACGACCGAGCCAGGCGAGGTTGGTCATGGCGGTCGACTTCTGTCAGGGGGGCTACTAATGTGTAATACGCAATCCTTCTTCAGTGCGTGTAGTCGCCGCTAGGTGGTTCACAGACATGGTAGTAATTTGTATTATTTCTATTGTTTTTTTTGTACTGTCATGATTGAAGATGATTAGATTTAAAATTTCTCGCAAGATAAAGTATGGAGCAACAACATTATTTAAAATGGTGTGTACATTTACTTGTGTGTGTCACAGGACACAAGCGCTATATCTCTCGTGCCGGCGGGGTCATTCCACCCACCTAGCTGGACCTCCATGGTCAACGCTGTCTGCTGTGCGAATTTGACCAAAGACATGGTGTTTATTTGCACAATGTTTCTTCCCCGTCGGCGTGACGGTGCTGCCCCATCCATGAGAAGAAATGTTGAATTCTTGCACAAAAGCCCTGAAACTTTCTAGAATACCTTATCCCACCTGCCACACACTTTTGTCAGGAGATGATAACACTCTTTTATCGTCATCTTCTCTGCCATGATGTGGCCCCATCAACAAGGCTAAGTAAAGAACATGCCATGTACATAAGTACATCTATCTCTCTTTTTTTTAGAGTAAGTATACATCTACCTATGTGTACAAGATTATTATTGCTTTATTCGGCAAAAATATTTTTTTTGTCTCTACAGATTTTGCTCATGTGATATATTATCTTCAACACCTGCAAAAAAAATGATATATCATCTTCAACAGTATTATTAGTCCATTATTAATTTGCATGTCTACCATAGGGCCTGGTTACCAGAAAGGATATATACAATCCCTTAACTGCACGCATGCCATATATGCCCCCTCCTTCCATGCCACTAGCAAAAGGTTCAACTCACACATCGGTAGTTTTTCACCTAAATACTACCATGTTTTTTGTCACGCCATCGTCCGCCTGCCTTCCCAGTTATTCAGAGATAGGCATAGGAGGTGTCCGGAAGCTCCCGAAAACGATTGAGCGATGGCGCAACTTCCATCTCTTTAGCCATGGTCATTATGTCGCGTGAAGCAACTGATGCGGAGTATCATCTGGCATTGTGTGGGGTTATTACCAAACCTAGAAATACTTATTGCTCTCATCGTATGCTCATGTGGTGGTAATTCGGAGGTAACATAGTTAGTTGAAACATCTCTCGGTGTAAGAAATAATGTAATTGCACATAGCAAAAGCAGATACTCGGAGTAAAATTAAGAAGGACCTCTATAGGAAGTTCATTTATTTCAAATTTTCTCACAGGAGGTTGATCAAATTTTTTCGTAGCACGATTGCACATAGTCGACAGAAACCAAAATTGCCAAGCAATTACTATAACTCCCTTGCAAGAAAGAAACTAGTTGGCACAGGGTGGACCGACGGTACGCATGGCCGGTCCTGACATTTCAAGGGCCCGGGGCGACACGAGAATTGGGGCCCCTTAGCCTTAATGTAATCATCAAAATAAGTCCATATCTTCTTATATACTAAAAACAATTAAGATGCATCCAAAACTGATATTTTAATAAATAATTTATATATATTATCTAAGAATAAATTCTTACATTGGATAGATGCAAAGTCCTTGATGATCATACCAATATCCATATCTTCCAACAATTTCTACATGAAAAATGAACTTTTGCTAGAGGCATTTGGTAGATAATATATCTCTCAATCCTAATAAACAATAGTATTGTAAAACACAATACGGTTAGAACTCAGAACTAAACATACATTTGCTATATGGTACACACCCAATCAATATTTAAAATGATGGAAATTACACACCTTCACTAGTAGAAAAAGGGCCATTCGTCCCGGTTCGTGCGGGCCTTTAGTCCCGGTTCTGGAACCGGGACTAAAGGGTCGGTACTAAAGCCCCCCCCCCTTTAGTCCTGGTTCTTATACGAACCGAGACTAAAGGCCCTCCCTTTAGTCCCGGTTGGTAACACCAACCGAGACTAAAGGATTTTTTTTATTTTTACGATTTTTTTTGAATTTTTTCCTGATTTTCAAATTTCCGAATTATTTTACAATTTAATATCTAATCACTACTCATCACTCATCACTGCTCAATTTAACCTCTAATATCTAATCACCCCTCATCATTCCAAATCATCTAACTTCCCGGCCTGTCACCCATTCTCTCACTACTCCAGCCTGAGCACGCTTAACTTCCGGGTTCTATTCTCCCTGTTTCCAAGTCTGCACTTGTTGTTTTCCTGACAATAGTAAGATGTCAATCCTATTAACCCTCAGGAGTTTGGCTTGAGCATGAAGTCACACGTTTCACTATTTGAGTTTGAAACAATTATTTTAAAAAACAATAATTATTTAGTAACACTAATATTTCTTGAATAAGTAGTGTGACCGTAGTTTGACCACAGTTTGACCAGATTTGACCAAAATTCAAAATAATGAAATAATTATTTAGTAACACTAATATTTCTTGAATAAGTAGTCTGACCGTAGTTTGACCACAGTTTGACCAGATTTGACCAAAATTCAAAATAATGAAATAATTATTTAGTAACACTAATATTCTTGAACAATTATTTAGTACCACTAATACTTATTGAATAAGTAGTTTGACCATAGTTTGACCAGATTTGACCAAAATTAAAAAAAACCAGAAATTTGAGCATATCCTTTTTTACTTTCAAAATTTGAGGATTCTAAAAATTTGCAAACAGGCCTACAACAGTCAAAATCGGATGCGGATTTTTGTGTTGATTTTTTTGATATATTATGTGTTTTTTTCGACACCGTATGCAAAAGATATGGCCGTTTTACATTTTCATAACACTTTTTTGCAAAACATGTCCAAATTTAAGTTTTTTAATTTTCCTAACTAATAGATGTAGTGACATAACTACATCTCAAAGGATTTTAATTTTTGAAGTTTTTATCATTTTCTTTTGCTTTTTA